ACCAAGTCCCAAGTTTTTATTTTGTGTAGAGTAGAGAGTCCATTAGCCATATCATGTTGCCAAAGAGGATCCAGAATAGTGTCTTTATAGGATGAGGGTTCAGATAGCTTGTAAATGGAAGTTAAAAGCGGTAAAATGATTCAGAATAGCAAGAATAAGCAAAATTAGGCAACTAAGTGGACTTACGTATATTATAAGGATATCGAGGAAGGAAGGAAACAGGAGCTGGATTGACGATCTCAGGCGGTGCTTGGGAGGCAATAGGAAAAGGGGTATCATGAGTTGGCGCATGTGTACATGTAGTACATAAAGAATCAACAGTACATGAGATATAGAAAAAATGGTCTGTTAATATTATCAGAGAATGGATCAATATGAATGAGATTAGTTTTAATCACATTATGAATATTATCAGAAATAAAAAAGAATAGAATGTGCTCAAGAAATACTACATGACAAGAAACATAAATTTTTGAGTAATGGGATCAAAGCAAAGATAACCTTTTGGCCTTGCCCATAAACCATGAAACCTCATATAGTAGAGCGAGACGTCAACTTACTACGTTTGACTCAGGACGAAGAACAATACAAGTACAGCCAAAGACTCTTAATGAGGAGTAATCAAGAGGATGCCCAAACAATGTTTTAAAGGTTGATAAGCCTGAAGTGTTGGAAGATAGAATCTTATTAATTAAAGAAATAACAGTGATAACTGCTTCTCTTCAAAATTTACTAGAAAACTTTGGCAGACAAAAGAAGGGAACGAACAATTTTTACAATGTGTGTATACTTTCTTTTAGCGATGCCATTTAGTTGTGGGGTATTATTATATGGGGTTTGATAAATTGTGCCATCAAGAGTAAGGAATTTAGAGAAATCTATAGAAGTATACTCTCCACCTAAATCAAATTTAAAGCACTTAATTACAGAAGAATGTTGAGTTCTAATAAGTTCTCTAAAAGAACGATAAATAGAAAGAAAATCAGAACGTCGTTTTGTAAGATAAATTGAGCAACAATGACTATAATCATTGATAAAAGATACATAATATATAGACCTTCCTTTTATAGTAATAGGAGCAGGTTCCCACACTTCAGAATGAACAAGAACAAATGGTACAATGGGATTAGAAATCCTTCGATAAAAGGTATAGCAGAAAATTTAACTAATTTGTAAACAATACAATAAAAAATATCATGAATTTGCAAATCTCCCAATTGACCTTTAAAAACTAAAAATTTTAAACGACTAGCGAAAACATAAAAGAAATTCAAATAAAAAGATCATAAATCAACGCCAAAGACTACAATATGTGATGGTCTCATACTGTCGAGAACATAGAACCCTCTTTCTCTACCTCCTATCCCTATCAACTTCTGAGATTGAGGATTCTGTACATGACAAGCAGTAAAAGAAAACTAAGTATCCAGAATCACGCAACTAATCAACAAAAATAAGATCCAAAGTAAGAGTTGAAACACAATAGACATATGAAAACAATAAATTATGTGTGTGAACAAAATCAACATTTACTAAAGGCAATGATATGTTACCAAAAATCATAACAGATATAAATGAGTTAGAAGGTGTAAGTCATTAAAGAATTTTCAGTTAGATGACATGTGTTTGGAAGCACCCAAATCAACGATCCGTAAGGAAGAAATACCTGAGGGACCCTGAGATGACAAACATATATGAGTAGAGGTTGACATAGCATGTAGCTGTATGGCTAAAAACTTTTGAAACTACTCTGCTAAATTAGTCAACATGAGATTGGAGGAAGGTGATGTTCCAAGTATAGAAGAGTCATCAAGTGGCATAGTATCAACTATGTTAATATTAGGACCATAGGATTGTTATTGTGACGGCTATTTTTTCAATAGCTCAAGACATTGAGACTTTCAATGTCCCTTTTGTTTGCAAAAGTTACACTCATCATTAGCAACTTGCACATAACCTTTATTTTGACTCTGTATGGATGATCGAAAGGGTACAACCAATACTAAAGTGCTAGATGAAGAAAGATATACTCCTCCTAGCAGAGATTTGAAACTCATCCACAATTTCACTAACCATGGAATCAACTGAAGAAAGTAGAGTGCGATTTAAAATAAAGCCTTAAAGTCCCTCAAAGTTATTGCAAAGTGCCATAAAAAATTGAACCAACTGCTACTCCTCTCTATAAGTAATATATTCCTCTCATGTTTTTAGCCATGCTGATTCTGTAAGAGCTAACTCATTCCAGATTGAATTCATAGCAATGTAAAATTCGAGTTCTGTTGTAAAGCCCGTATGTCATTCTCCACCTGATACCACTTTGTGAAATTTGACTTAGTATATAACTTCTGAAAAATGATCTCAAATTTCCTTTGTTATTTCATACTTCACCAATTGTGTACCAATGGATTGCTAAGCAGAATTATGAATCTAAGTAAGAATTTTTACATTGTTTGACTCTTAACTGTCTAACTCTACCATATACTTCTCAGCAGTGTTCTTGGGTTTCACAATAATTTAGTTTCACTAATACAACATCATAATCTTTTTCCTTAAGAAAATTCCTCATCAAAGTACTCTAATTCAAATAATTCTTACCATTTAATTTGACACTAACGGATTGAAGTGAATCATCCCTTCAATTGCCATCATAAAGTCAACAATTAAGCAACTACAATTTTAAAAAACCACCCAATCCTAAGGCAACCAACATATTGCCATGAACTACAATTGGAATATATTGCACAATACACATACAACCAAACGAATACTACCAAACGGTCAGAAACTTACCAAAGAAGAAACTACCTCTTTGAAGCTATCTCATAAAACACATGAACGCCACCTCTTCTTCCATCACCCCCATTCACAAGCCGCCAGAATATTGTGCGTGGTACTACACATTTCGGTTAGAATGATTCGTCTCGTCACCATGTACCCGTATATGGTCACCATTCTTCGAACGAAAGTCGGGTTTGATAGATATTGTATATTTTCAGTGGCTGCTTAAAAAAACATTAGGGTTTTGTTTTGTTTTGTTTTCAATTGCACGGGTTGTTTGAGAATGAAAAAAATGAAGAGATAGATTTCGGCACACAAATTTGAGCCCTAATACTCTTATAATATAAATCAGCATAGTGCTAACAAATCAAACACAAAAAGAAGAACAAAGGGAAGGAGAAGAACAAAAGATTTTTATGAGGCACCAAAATTAGAGTAAATAATGAAACAGCATATGCTTATATACTACAAGAAAACTTACAAAATAAAGAAACTAAATAATATATATAATATTATTATTACACTAATTATGCTAGCAGAATTTATTTTGAAATTAGTAACATCACGTACAAAGCTATGCCATGCCAAAGAATACTATCCAGATGTATGTTGTCTTCTCTATTACACATTGCTCTTATCTATAATGGACTATATCATTATAGGCAATATACAATTTAACTAAATGTATAGTTTTCCGTGGCACAAATGTTACCTTGAAATACAGTTTCATAAAGATAAAAAAAAAGCTTCAAATTGGATTCAAAATATCACCATACGATCAGCATAACTATAATTTAAAATGCATATGTTTTTAGCCTAAGAACACACACACACACACACACACACACACACACACACACACACATATATATATATATATATATATTTTTTTTTTCCTGACCTTGAATGGCCACCATTTCTTTGTTAATTATAGCTAGAAGAATTATACAGTCGGGTAGACCCAGTATTTAGAGAATTAGCGCTCTAGTGTTTACCGTTTTGATCAATGCCAAGAATTCCTGTATTGCCCAAACTTAAAAATAAGTTTATACATCTTACTACATTGATATCTGTTTAAATTGGTAGAAAAAATTATATTTAATAATTATAAACATTCTCCAAAGTGTCAGAGCACAAAGAAAATTCCTGATTAACAATCACGTACGCTATAAATCACAAATTTCAGCTTTGAGGGAAGGTAATTATCAATCAATCCACATTGATATTGTTGGAAAATAATCAGTTATAGTAAATTACAGAACTATAAAATGCAGAAAGTAGAACTTATCGATTGATTGAATCTCGTGACAACACGATATCCTAAAACGAAATTGCCTGCCATTAACTGCCTCAACCTCTGTGGACAATTATTGTACGATAGATTGATCAAACAAACCACTTATGTAGCAATCACAAATGGTTTCTGAGTATGAAAAAGTACAGAATATGAAAATGGTAATTTCATTTTTGAAATAATTTTTTTCAAAAGCAGATATGTGTTTTTATAGCCAGAATAGATATAATTGCCTCCAACATGATTATGAAATATTTGTAATTTTTAATCGGTTATTGATAATGGGTTGTTAAAAATGGATATATTACATTGGTTAGTTGACCCATTGAATAAATTTGAAAATAATTAAGTCCCCGTTTCCCATTAATTTTCGTTCCATTACATTTTATTTTTCTTCTTATTTTCAATTACACAATCTTCCATAAAATAATATTACATGTAAATTGAAAATTTTTCCTTCTTTTTTAACATTCATTTTTCTAAAAAAATACGATTTCCCCCATTTTTACTTTCAGGTAATGGGGATCAAACAGGGGCTAAAGTTCCCAGGTAAGAAAAAAGATGACCTACAAAGACAGATAAAAGGACACATGATAAATGAGGAGATTCCAATTTACAGTTGCAATTTATAGACTGCACTAAACTGCCTTTTTAGGTAAATATTTCCAGCAATGGAATAATTGAAAAAATAATAATAATAAAAAATTCCCTTCATTTGATCATAAAATCTCTCAATGAAGTTAGAAATTGATGTCTGCGATCACAAAAATAAACTTCTTGACAATATTCACAAAAGTAAGTTGCATTGACGGCCCACATTTAAAAAAAAAAAATTTAATAGTATTTATAAACTTAAATGAAGCCTAATGTACAGGCCTTACAGATCCCCTCACATGCTGTGTGAGGGGGTGGGGGATTATTTAAAAAAAAAAAAAATTACCCACCCCCTTGTAATGTGTCTGGTTTGTACAGGCCCCGTGAAAGCCAGCAAAGTTGAACTTAAATTACTCCGGGCATAGAAAAAGTCTTGATTTGTAGCTTGCTTTATTTTATTTTTGTCATTTTCTTGTGACTTTGCATAAACTAGCTCCCAAGCGGATGAAGTTACAAGGCAATTGTGCGGAACCGATTGACTTTGACAAATCTTATTGTACAGAAGTCTCTTGCATAGACTATTAACTGCTAGCATCCTCTCTTGTTTACACCAAAATATAAAATCACATGTATCTGCATCCAGTTTCAATGGTCAATCTGTTCTTTTTCATTCTTCATCTTCTTTTCACCTTTACAGAGCATTCTGCAGGTTACTACCTCAATGGGGATGTAGCAATTAACTGTGGTTCCACTGGCATTTCAACGGCTTTCAATGGCCGGGAATGGATCGGAGATATATCGACTTCCCCACCACAAATAAAGGGCTCATCCTCCAGCTCAAGCACCATCCATAATTTGGCTTTGGTTGATCCTGTCCCTTACAAAACAGCACGAGTCTCTCAATCACAATTCTCTTATACTTTTCGAGTAAGCCCAGGTCTCAAACTTATTCGCCTTCACTTTAGTCTGTCTTTATACCAGCAATTTAAGAAGTCTCGAGATTTTTTCACAGTTGAAGTTGGGCCTTTCACTCTCCTTAGTAACTTTAGTGCTTCAATAACTGCTGATGCACTCAGTGTAAAATCTTTTGTGAAGGAATACTGCATCAATATAGACAAAAATCAACTGTTGACTATAACTTTTTCTCCCGAACATAGCCAGTCACATAAAACATATGCTTTTATTAATGGAATTGAGGTAATATCCTTGCCATCTGACCTTTATTACTTTCATGGTGGTGGTCTTGGGGCCCAAGTGGTTGGCCAAAAATCTCGAATCTATATTGACAAAAGCACGGCACTTGAAATCGTGGAGCGATTAAATATAATATGGGATCCCACATCAGTAGATAGTTCTTATAAATATAGGATGCGGGAGACAGTTTCAAATAAAAAGAAAAACAAGATCAACACTTTCACCTGGAAAACATCTGTGGATGTCGGATTTGGATACTTGGTCAGGCTCCATTTCTTCGGGAAAGGACTGAGTATGGCAGAGAATGGCAACATGGCGTACAGTGTCCTCATAAATGACATGATTGTCGAAACTAATGTTGATATAATAAAAGAGAGGGGCGACAATGACATCCTTTGGTACAGAGACTATATAGTGATGATTAAAGGACATAAAGAGGAGGCTAGGCGTGATCTAACAATTTCCCTGCGGTTGAAGAGTGAATTGATAGATGGACCCCTTAAAGGATTGGAAATATGCAAGTTGAGCAACCTGTACAATAGTCTTGCCTCTCTGTACCCCTCGCCTCCTACGCAAGCTTCATCATCCGTGACTGTACGAATATTATTGTCAATTTTTTGTCGCAGAAACACAGTAGTAACTGGTGCAGTAATTATAATCACTCTAGTCAACATCATTGCTTTTAGGTTGCGGCAAATCTGGGAAGCCAACACTATTGAGGACAGAAACAAGCCATCAATCTCGACGGGAGGACTCTGTCATTATTCCCTTGCTGAGATCCAGTCAGCCACAGATAACTTCAGTGATACACTAGTTATTGGAAAGGGTGGATTTGGTAATGTCTACAAAGCATTCATTGAAAATGGGCAACAGCTGGTGGCCATTAAGAGGTTAAAGTCCAACTCCAAGCAAGAAGAACATGAGTTTTGGACAGAGATTGCAACACTTTCAAAGCTCCAACACAATAATCTTGTTTCTTTAGTCGGCTACTGCAATGAGCACCAAGAAATGATCCTTCTCTATGAGTATATTCCATGTGGCACGTTAGCTGACCATCTCTTTGGACTTCGTGGTGAGAGTGATTATCATTATTCTCTCTCTTGGAAGCAACGCCTAAGGATCTGCATTGGGGTTGCGCGAGGACTAGACTACCTTCATTCTGGCACCAATCGTGGAATCATACACCGTGACATAAAGGCTTCTAACATCCTGCTGGATGAAAATTTGGAGGCTAAGATTTCAGATTTTGGGTTGGCCAAACCGCAAATTAAAAGTTACATACAAAGCTATGTTAGCACAAACGTTAAAGGTACATTTGGATATTTTGACCCGGATTATTTCAGAACACGTAAACTGACAAGGAAGAGTGATACATATGCCTTTGGTGTTGTGTTGCTGGAAGTATTGTGTGGAAGACCAGCAGTGTATCCAACAGTTACCGAGGATAAGCACAGTCTCATTATGTGGGCTCGAGATTGCATCAGTAAGGGAAACATTGATCAGATTGCCGCTCCAAGTCTAAGGGGACAAATATCACCTGATTGCCTGAAGACATTTTTGGAAGTTGCTAAAAAATGCTTGCACAATGAACCAAAGAAACGGCCTACAATGGCTCAAGTTGTGGTACAACTTGAGTTTGCTTTGAAGCAACAGGAGAGCTCGAAGTCTTCTGTTTCAACGATGACTACTTCTGATGGTGTCCAGCCTTGTACAAGGGAAACTATCAAATTCATTAGTACTGGGGTTCAAGAAATCTCGTCTGTAGATGAGCAGAATATCTCACCTTCTTCGGAAGAAAGAACCAAAAGTTAACCGGTTCAGAATGTTTGGCCTTCAGGTAGAAACACACCTGTGGATAGGAGAAAAACCAATGTTTATAAGCTATCATGGTTGAGGCCGTGGGATGCAATCTGGAATAGGGCAAAACCATCCAAGAAAAGAGAATCGGTCCGCTTCTCAATATCAGGCATTGAAACGGCCACGAACAATACTGATCATTAGAAGTGATTTCAAATGACTTTTCAGCAACCCAGTTCAACCTCAGTAAGTAAAAATAAGAGCAGTTTCATTTCATCTCTCTCTCTCTCTCTCTCTCTCTCTATGTTTCGTACGCTCATGGAACACAAAGTTGTGAGATATTTTAATAACACTTTTATTATCACAATAAATAGGGGTTGGAGAGGATGAAGGAACACCTATGCCTTACAATCTCGACGGTGGTGAAAGCCAAAGCACGATACTCTGCCTTATTAGAAAAACGAGAAACAACAATATGTTTTTTACTCTTTCAAAAAAAATAGGGAATGGTAAAACCCATAGCACAATACTCTGCCTCATTAGAAAAACGAGAAATAACGGTATATTTTTTACTCTTTCAAAAAAATAGGGATATCACCCAAAAATATATAAAAATCAGTAATGAAATTACGATCAGTGGGGTTACGGGCCTAATTAGCATCAGAGTAGGCACAAAGTTCTACAAAGAGGTTGAAGGAAATGAAAGACTTTGAAAGCAAGTACTATGAAGATAGTGCAAAATAAGAACAACAGCTGCCCAGTGAACTATAGTAAGAGTTGAAACAAACTGACTAACAATATGAATAACATAAACAATATTGGGACGTGTGACAGTGAGATAAACCAAACATCCTACAATGGTGCGATACAAAGTGGGATCTGTCAAAAGTACATGTCAGATGGTGAATAACGAGCGTAGGACTCAAGATGAGTATCAACAGTTTTAGTATCAGCAAGATGAGCACGTTTAATAACATCCATAGTATACTTGGATTGAGAGAGAAAATAATCTCTAGGAGAAGAAGTAATTTCGATCCCAAAAAATAAAATAATGCACATAAGTCCTTCATTTTAAAATGACTAGCCAATTCTGATTTCAAATCAGCAATCCCAACAACATCATCACTAGTAATAATCATTTCGTCAACAAACAATAAAAGTAGAATGCAGGAAGGTAAAGTGCATCTAAAGAATAAGGCAGAGTCATGACGATTGGATGTAAAACCAAGAGAAGCAAAAATAGTGGAAATTTTCTCAAACCAAGCATGAGGTGCTTGTTTGAGACCATAAAATGACTTCTTGAGCTTGCAAATACATCCAAGAGTGTGAGAAAGATCAGGAAGAGAAACTACATAAACTCTCTTGAAGATTTCCACTCAAAAATGCATTTTTGACATTCAACTGGGAGAGACTTCATTGACGAACGGATGTAACTACAATAAGTGTATGAACAGTGGTCATCTTGGCAACATGAGCAAAAGTCTCCTCATAATCCAAACCATATAGCTAATTAAAATCCTTAACAACCAATCTAGCCTTGTAACGTTTAACTAAACTGTTAGATTTAGTTTTAATCTTATAAACTCAACGAGAATCAATAGTATGTTTACTTGGAGGTAATACAACCAAGTCCCAAGTTTTTATTTTGTGTAGAGTAGAGAGTCCATTAGCCATATCATGTTGCCAAAGAGGATCCAGAATAGTGTCTTTATAGGATGAGGGTTCAGATAGCTTGTAAATGGAAGTTAAAAGCGGTAAAATGATTCAGAATAGCAAGAATAAGCAAAATTAGGCAACTAAGTGGACTTACGTATATTATAAGGATATCGAGGAAGGAAGGAAACAGGAGCTGGATTGACGATCTCAGGCGGTGCTTGGGAGGCAATAGGAAAAGGGGTATCATGAGTTGGCGCATGTGTACATGTAGTACATAAAGAATCAACAGTACATGAGATATAGAAAAAATGGTCTGTTAATATTATCAGAGAATGGATCAATATGAATGAGATTAGTTTTAATCACATTATGAATATTATCAGAAATAAAAAAGAATAGAATGTGCTCAAGAAATACTACATGACAAGAAACATAAATTTTTGAGTAATGGGATCAAAGCAAAGATAACCTTTTGGCCTTGCCCATAAACCATGAAACCTCATATAGTAGAGCGAGACGTCAACTTACTACGTTTGACTCAGGACGAAGAACAATACAAGTACAGCCAAAGACTCTTAATGAGGAGTAATCAAGAGGATGCCCAAACAATGTTTTAAAGGTTGATAAGCCTGAAGTGTTGGAAGATAGAATCTTATTAATTAAAGAAATAACAGTGATAACTGCTTCTCTTCAAAATTTACTAGAAAACTTTGGCAGACAAAAGAAGGGAACGAACAATTTTTACAATGTGTGTATACTTTCTTTTAGCGATGCCATTTAGTTGTGGGGTATTATTATATGGGGTTTGATAAATTGTGCCATCAAGAGTAAGGAATTTAGAGAAATCTATAGAAGTATACTCTCCACCTAAATCAAATTTAAAGCACTTAATTACAGAAGAATGTTGAGTTCTAATAAGTTCTCTAAAAGAACGATAAATAGAAAGAAAATCAGAACGTCGTTTTGTAAGATAAATTGAGCAACAATGACTATAATCATTGATAAAAGATACATAATATATAGACCTTCCTTTTATAGTAATAGGAGCAGGTTCCCACACTTCAGAATGAACAAGAACAAATGGTACAATGGGATTAGAAATCCTTCGATAAAAGGTATAGCAGAAAATTTAACTAATTTGTAAACAATACAATAAAAAATATCATGAATTTGCAAATCTCCCAATTGACCTTTAAAAACTAAAAATTTTAAACGACTAGCGAAAACATAAAAGAAATTCAAATAAAAAGATCATAAATCAACGCCAAAGACTACAATATGTGATGGTCTCATACTGTCGAGAACATAGAACCCTCTTTCTCTACCTCCTATCCCTATCAACTTCTGAGATTGAGGATTCTGTACATGACAAGCAGTAAAAGAAAACTAAGTATCCAGAATCACGCAACTAATCAACAAAAATAAGATCCAAAGTAAGAGTTGAAACACAATAGACATATGAAAACAATAAATTATGTGTGTGAACAAAATCAACATTTACTAAAGGCAATGATATGTTACCAAAAATCATAACAGATATAAATGAGTTAGAAGGTGTAAGTCATTAAAGAATTTTCAGTTAGATGACATGTGTTTGGAAGCACCCAAATCAACGATCCGTAAGGAAGAAATACCTGAGGGACCCTGAGATGACAAACATATATGAGTAGAGGTTGACATAGCATGTAGCTGTATGGCTAAAAACTTTTGAAACTACTCTGCTAAATTAGTCAACATGAGATTGGAGGAAGGTGATGTTCCAAGTATAGAAGAGTCATCAAGTGGCATAGTATCAACTATGTTAATATTAGGACCATAGGATTGTTATTGTGACGGCTATTTTTTCAATAGCTCAAGACATTGAGACTTTCAATGTCCCTTTTGTTTGCAAAAGTTACACTCATCATTAGCAACTTGCACATAACCTTTATTTTGACTCTGTATGGATGATCGAAAGGGTACAACCAATACTAAAGTGCTAGATGAAGAAAGATATACTCCTCCTAGCAGAGATTTGAAACTCATCCACAATTTCACTAACCATGGAATCAACTGAAGAAAGTAGAGTGCGATTTAAAATAAAGCCTTAAAGTCCCTCAAAGTTATTGCAAAGTGCCATAAAAAATTGAACCAACTGCTACTCCTCTCTATAAGTAATATATTCCTCTCATGTTTTTAGCCATGCTGATTCTGTAAGAGCTAACTCATTCCAGATTGAATTCATAGCAATGTAAAATTCGAGTTCTGTTGTAAAGCCCGTATGTCATTCTCCACCTGATACCACTTTGTGAAATTTGACTTAGTATATAACTTCTGAAAAATGATCTCAAATTTCCTTTGTTATTTCATACTTCACCAATTGTGTACCAATGGATTGCTAAGCAGAATTATGAATCTAAGTAAGAATTTTTACATTGTTTGACTCTTAACTGTCTAACTCTACCATATACTTCTCAGCAGTGTTCTTGGGTTTCACAATAATTTAGTTTCACTAATACAACATCATAATCTTTTTCCTTAAGAAAATTCCTCATCAAAGTACTCTAATTCAAATAATTCTTACCATTTAATTTGACACTAACGGATTGAAGTGAATCATCCCTTCAATTGCCATCATAAAGTCAACAATTAAACAACTACAATTTTAAAAAAACCACCCAATCCTAAGGCAACCAACATATTGCCATGAACTACAATTGGAATATATTGCACAATACACATACAACCAAACGAATACTACCAAACGGTCAGAAACTTACCAAAGAAGAAACTACCTCTTTGAAGCTATCTCATAAAACACATGAACGCCACCTCTTCTTCCATCACCCCCATTCACAAGCCGCCAGAATATTGTGCGTGGTACTACACATTTCGGTTAGAATGATTCGTCTCGTCACCATGTACCCGTATATGGTCACCATTCTTCGAACGAAAGTCGGGTTTGATAGATATTGTATATTTTCAGTGGCTGCTTAAAAAAACATTAGGGTTTTGTTTTGTTTTGTTTTCAATTGCACGGGTTGTTTGAGAATGAAAAAAATGAAGAGATAGATTTCGGCACACAAATTTGAGCCCTAATACTCTTATAATATAAATCAGCATAGTGCTAACAAATCAAACACAAAAAGAAGAACAAAGGGAAGGAGAAGAACAAAAGATTTTTATGAGGCACCAAAATTAGAGTAAATAATGAAACAGCATATGCTTATATACTACAAGAAAACTTACAAAATAAAGAAACTAAATAATATATATAATATTATTATTACACTAATTATGCTAGCAGAATTTATTTTGAAATTAGTAACATCACGTACAAAGCTATGCCATGCCAAAGAATACTATCCAGATGTATGTTGTCTTCTCTATTACACATTGCTCTTATCTATAATGGACTATATCATTATAGGCAACATACAATTTAACTAAATGTATAGTTTTCCGTGGCACAAATGTTACCTTGAAATACAGTTTCATAAAGATAAAAAAAAAGCTTCAAATTGGATTCAAAATATCACCATACGATCAGCATAACTATAATTTAAAATGCATATGTTTTTAGCCTAAGAACACACACACACACACACACACACACACACACATATATATATATTTTTATATATTTTTTTTTTCCTGACCTTGAATGGCCACCATTTCTTTGTTAATTATAGCTAGAAGAATTATACAGTCGGGTAGACCCAGTATTTAGAGAATTAGCGCTCTAGTGTTTACCGTTTTGATCAATGCCAAGAATTCCTGTATTGCCCAAACTTAAAAATAAGTTTATACATCTTACTACATTGATATCTGTTTAAATTGGTAGAAAAAATTATATTTAATAATTATAAACATTCTCCAAAGTGTCAGAGCACAAAGAAAATTCCTGATTAACAATCACGTACGCTATAAATCACAAATTTCAGCTTTGAGGGAAGGTAATTATCAATCAATCCACATTGATATTGTTGGAAAATAATCAGTTATAGTAAATTACAGAACTATAAAATGCAGAAAGTAGAACTTATTGGCTGATCGAATCTCGTGACAAGACAATATTCTAAAACGAAATTGCTTGCCATTAAATGCCTCGATCTCTGTGGACAATTATTCTACGATATAATGATCAAACAAACCACTTGTGCAGTAATCACAAATGGTTTCTGAGTATGAAAAAGTACAGAATATGAAAATGGTAATTTCATTTTTGAAATAATTTTTTTCAAAAGCAGATATGTGTTTTTATAGCCAGAATAGATATAATTGCCTCCAACATGATTATGAAATATTTGTAATTTTTAATCGGTTATTGATAATGGATTGTTAAAAATGGTTATATTACACTGGTTAGTTTGACCCAGTAAAAAAATTTGAAAATAATTAAGTCCCAATTTGGCCCCCATTAATTTTCGTTCCATTACATTTTATTTTTCTTTCTCCTATTTTAAACCACACAATCTTCTATAAAATAATATTATATGTAAATTGAAAACTTTTCATTCTTTTTCAACTACTCATTTAAAAAAAAAAAAACTATGTCACCCATTTCCATATCCAAAAAATGGGGCCAAATGGGGGCTAAAATAAATTAAAAAAAAATATTTTTTTAATCAAGGAAGTCCAAGAGCCCAATTAAATACTTTAATTATTGCGTTGGATGTGAACCGAACCCCAACCTCCCACCCAAATTTCGCACTTTTCATCAATCGAACACTTCATCTCATGATTCTCATCTAGTTACATTTTTCACATAATATATTTAGCGCTTGTCTGGAAAAAATTACGCTGAAAAAAATTGATTTTTGTGTCAAATCACCCGCCCCACCATAATTGATTTACAGCTGCTTGTTTGCCAATTTTTAGGGCCGTTCTATTCAAACACTGGCCCCCGTTTGAATAGAATTATTCCATTTTTTAAGATGTGCATGTCTTTAACGTTTACGTAAAAAGTCAATTTAGCCCTTATTGCTGCCATATATGAACAGTACGTAAATGACAGCAGGGGCAAAATTGGGTATTGGCATCTATAAAGAATTGTGCTACCATTATTGTTTGAAAAGGGAGTCAGGTGGGTCAGAATAAAAATTTTATATTTGTATACCCAACGGTCTGATTTTTCTTATTAATTCAACTATAATTGCTACCCAAAAAAATGCTTATTGTATAAATATCTAATAGATATAAGAGTCTATATAGAGTTAGTTCTTGTTTGGTAGGGATTTTGATAATTGATTTTTTGATCGTTAGAGATAAAGTGGATCTTGTCTGTGAGATAAAAATTCAAAAATGACAGCTGGAATAATTAAATAACGATCAAAAATTTAATTTTAATTGGCTTAAAATCTATGCCAAACAAGTACTTAACATAATCAATTATTGTATATCCAAGTAATTTATTACCAATTTCCAAACATATATATTAAATCAAACACTGAGAAATTACATTGTGAAAAAGCAAAACTATGAAAGAACACAAGCCAATCCGATTTCAAGAATTTCTCAAATTCCACAGCAACAGTTGAGCTAATGGTGATTAATTAATTAAT